AGCATGGGGGTGAGTAGAAAATGAAGGCTAATCATGTTTTGGGTGTACTATTCCTTTAAGGCAATAATTGTGCAGGGCAGCAAAATGGCAATTACTGAGGGCAGCTGATGCTTGTTTTTTTTTGTATATTTTACAAGCCTTTCATCTACAGTTGTGTATTTTTTGTGAATTTATGTTAAATTTGAAATAGGTTTGTATTGATTACAGGTATTTTGCAGACTTAAAAGTGGGGTGGGTGGGATTGCTGCTGGGGATCTGTCTCCTTAGAATTCAGTCTGGTTCCACAGGTGCCTGCTAATGACCCTCATTATTAAATCGAGGTGTGCTAAAGTAGGAACATATCTACAATAATGAGGACATTGGCCATTGAGGACCAAAGCATGACATTTGCCAAAGGGAATAGAAAAATGTTACAATAAGAAAAAGTGGGCGTGGGCCTTGAGTTAGCTCTTTCTTTTAGCAGATCTTCTGAAGAAATAAAAGTTGTATGAGAGGCAGTACAGCATCCCTGTGTGCGTCTCTTCAGCTCTCCTGTTGTATTAGTATGACCCTGCCTCAGGAGCAGCAGAGGCAGCAGCAGCGGGGCGAGCGATAAAGAAACGATGCGTCGTGCAAATCTAAGACCGTCTGCTTATGGTTTCATGGGCCTGCAGGAATAACACTCAGAAAAATGCTTCAGCTCAGCAGTTTGTCTGCGTTACATGTCCATATCTACCCTATGTGTGTTTGTGAATTGCTGCATGCCTCACATACGCTGGTCATGTGTCTCTGGAGTTCCATCTACTTCTAAACGTCAGATTTCTCCCTCAGGTGGGACGGGTTAAGGCCCACTCCTGTCTTTATTATTAGCCCTGTATGCATGTCCCGCCATCCTGTCTTGAACCCCTCCCTTCCTGCTTTCCATATTGGGTCTTATCTAAGCCGTGGTGCTACCAGACAGGACAGGCCACTGGCTGATAGCGATTGTTTATCCCACGGTGCGAAATTGCTGATCTGTCGTCTGCTTTTCCCTGACAGCGAGATGCTCATCTCTCTCTCTCTCCTCCCTCAGATACAGATATTGGCACCTATCAGTACTACGATAAAGGAGAGCCAGGTAAATAGTGTTTATATTGGATGTGTGTTTGCGTTCCAGATAAGTTGCATGTGTCTTGTTTTTGGAATGCATGTGATTTCCCTATATATAAAGAAGAGCTTTGCGCTGCCTGCTGACACCCAGATTATTGGTCCAGCACGATTCAGAGTCTTACAGCCCCTAACCACACATACACATGTACACACAAAGGCTATTAGTGTGTAGGATTTACACCCTAAAACCTTATATACACATGCACATACCACACACACAGATTATGAGGTCTCTGCGGTTCTATCTTTTACACTCCCTGTGTTCCTGTTGACCCTGGGGTCCTGACATACGGCGATAGGAAAACTAAACTGTTGACTTTCTCCTAGATCTCATAGCAAGAAGCCCCATGCGGTCCAGCCTCATTTTACCCCGAGGCCCGGAGGTTTTTCTTGTAATCAGGAAGCGCTAAGATCGTCACCCTGCAGCACTGCAGCAGAAACATGCTCTATATCTTTTTTTTCTCCTTGCTAAATAAATGATACATCTAGAAAATATAGCATCCCTAGTGTCTTTCTGTCCATATGCCACACCTTGAAAACTTAGTTTAAAGAAGAAAATTAGGTGTTTTATTTCAGTTATTCACAGTGTAACTTTGTCATCTAGTCTCTATGAGCACAGTAAAGTATTATCAGCATGTATTTACTGTTAATCGTGATGATTGTGGCATGCAAATAATGAAAAATCAAAATGAATCTTTGATTAATGCCTACATATGGCCAGTGACAAGTTCCTCAAAGAGCATAAGCCACTAAAAGATGAAGCTAATGGAGCTGTGGGTGTTAAGATTGGTGTGTCTGCACTTGTAAATAGAAAGTTAGGTGGAAGGATAAAGTGTGGTTAAAAAAAAAAAGGGCTCACAGAAATCACCTACAATATTTTAGAGAGCTTAATGCTTTATTCTTCTGACAAGCTCTATGGAGATTTCCCCCCTACAAGTCCTATGGTACTAAAATCTGCTTCTGTCACCCTGGTGGTGAGGAAGAAAAATGGCTTCCTGAGCAGCTGGTGGTCTCCTACATCTGCATCCATTTGTTCTAGTTGCGTTTAAAAGCCTTTTTATTGGTCTTATGTTAAATATATGTTTAATAAAAATAATTAGGAGATTTTTCTTTAGCTTAAAGCAATAATCTTCAAGTTTAAAGAAATAAAAACCTAAAATATCACAGTTGGTGTAAAGAATCACTATTAAATAAGTTTTGAATGTCGGTATTGAAGGTTAACTCTTTAGCGATATTCTAGTTTATAAGGATCTACCTGCCTTTGTAACTTCCACTGTGTGCTTCCACCTTTTATTGTAATCTTTCTAAAAATGTTTTAATACTTTATTGGAGACTTTAGCTTCTTAACTGTTCTTTTTTTCCAAATAAAAGAAAGATGGCTACAAGAAAAAATAAAATAAATGTAAGAACTAGAAAAATCTCTCTCCAGCAGATGTTTCGAGTGATTATTCTTTTTCTGAAATCTTTTTTTTTAAGACAAGCAAGATTAGAAAGCTTTCCATTCATGATTATTTACTGTTATTCAGTAAATACCCCTGGTCAATCTCCCACCTGAGCTGTGCATCTATGCAGCTCCTGCAGTTACTCTGGGCTGCTGTACACTTTCTATTTTTACTGAAGTGAGATTAGACTGAAAAACTGAACACTGTGTTTGTTCAGGATTATCTTTATGTTGGGATGTCCGAGTTGAAAGGGCTTCCTACAAATGCCTGCCACACTTTTCAGATTTTATTAATACAGAAAGATCAAAAACATAGATCCTTTAATGCAGTACTTTATGTTAAGACTGTCATATAAAATCTCAAATAAATCATGTTGGTGATCGCACCCTATAGTGATTTTAGTTCATCTCCAGGCCAGATTTTTGGCCCATTTTTGCACAGCCAATAATAATCCCAGCTTATTTCTAATTCCGAGGCTTGGAAAAATAGTCTATGATGCTCATGATTTTTATTATTCATATGCTCCTTTGTGTTAGTTGATTACATCAATCCCAATAAAACACATTTTAATTAGTATTTCTAATGGGACAAAATGTGGCTGAATACCAGGACAGAACCCAATAGGGATGCCTTATTATACTGTGTAGGAATCTTAATAAATACTGCTTCCATAGACCTCGATTGCTTTGCCTCTTCCCGTTGCTTCTGATTTAATTCAGAGGTCCTGAAAGGACAAAATAAAAGGAAAACTGTTCTAACGGGGATGCCTCTTTAGGAGTAATTTTTCAGTTTATTTAATAAATATTCATAGATATTTATCGAGTAGTCCTCATGTGAATTTTACAAAAACCTGAACCAAATAACAAGTTTTGTTTATTAACCGTTTGTTCAATTTTTTCACTGTCCTGACTGTAGAAAACAGGTTAAAGGGATTTGTTTTGTTTTTTTTGTTCATTTTTCTAATAAAGCTGAGTAAATGTAATAGTAGTGTTAAAGCAAAATAGAAACTTTCTAGTCTTTATATAGACTTTATTTATATATATATTTTCATTTTCCTTCTGTATATATATATATATATATATACACACATAATGTATAGTTCTTATATATTTCATATTATCGGGAGATATTGATTGATTCCGCGACTCTGCATTGTCCCTCCAGTCTTTGATTAATTTCTTTCTCTTTTTTTCATTAATTAGTCTTTAGGGATTTTTTTCACTCTGCATGCAGTTAGTCCCCCTTCCTCGTCACAGGCCTCATCCTAGAGGCTGCCTTCTCTTTTCATTCCACTCCTCAGTGGAAGGACGGTGCTTTTCCTCCCAAATCCTTTCATTTGGAGGATTACTAAAGTGTAGCTTGATATCATAGTGAAGGAGGAGGGAGGAGAAGCAGACCAGGGAAGCAAAATCCCAACCCAGAATCATCATAACCCTCATACAGCAGCGTTATAGTTATAATCAAGGTTTTTGGGGCTGATTTCACTTTTAGCGCTAACTTACTGAGAGGTTGCATTTTAATGACAGCTGACTCTATTAAATGAAAAAAAAAGGCATGTTTACATAGCCGGACTGTTCAAACCAGTATAGGGGAGAAAATCACTTGTTACAAAATGTTTAGGTTTACAGGTGCTGGAAATCTTTGATTTTATTTTGTCCTGATGTTTGTTTTTATTGGATAAAAATACTTAAAACAGTTTAGAAGATTAACATATTGACTTTTGCAACAGGTTTTTACACGAATCCTAGTTTATCATGCAATCTTACACAGTAAGCTAAAATAAAACTGTATTCTCTTATAATTTAATATAACATAGCATTATAGGACTAGGTCCTTTAATTGTGGGATTCAATCTTTCTCCCTTCCAGGATTGCTTTTTATGTAATGGATACAGTAGACATGTACCAATCGGGTATTGGCTCTGATATTTATTGATATGCTATATCAGAGGAATGATGCTGTCATTTCATTTTTTTTTTTTTTTTTTACATATCAAACACAGCATTACAGTAAACTAATTACCTTAATTTCCTGGTTAGAAAGTGGATTGTGTCATCAACACAATCCACTTTCTAACAGGACCTTCTTCTTGGGAGTCTAGTTAAATCTTATTGTAAATTTAATGACATATTTTGTTCTGGATAATTTCCCTTTATAGAACCAAGCAGCAGAAGGAGAATCTGAGGAGGCAACATGTTGATCTTATTCTAAGCTTCAGCTTTGAGCCAAACATAAAGCAGCATCCTGTCAGTGGTCACAGTGCTTATCCTGTCCACTGACCTCCACTAGAGGGAGACCTAGGCTCATTAGAGCTGCTCTGGGGGGGTCCCCAGCTGCCAGTGCCCCTCCACCCCCCCTGTTCATCCAGCCCCAGAGCAGGTGCCCATGTCTGGGCCTGTCTGGCCCTTCACCCCCTTATCTGATTAATACTACTAATCCTGGAGGTGTCCCTGCCTGCCAGAGAGGCCGGCCACCAGGCTGTCCACTTTCACGCTCGGGGCAGCCAGACCAGGGCTTCCACTTTGCCAGCGTTGTCCCCCGTTAAAACTGAGGGGCTTGTTGGAGCCACATCTTAGCCTTCTGTTTTTATTTAGCTGCACCGTAAAGAAAAGCCAGTTTTTTAAGTATCCAATCAGCTAATGTGGCCTCTGTCTTCCTCCTCCAGCCAATCCCCTGGAGCATCACTACTACAATGAGAAACTCCACTTCTGTGAGGGTAAGTTTACAAAGCAGGGAATCAAAAATGAGCCGTTTAACCACATATGCATGGGCTCTGATGGAGTGACCAGTCGGCAGTCGTCCTCTGCGTGCTCTTCTCTCCCGTCTCTGCTCCTCACCCAGTTGTAAAATACAAACAGCCTTATCAGAACACAAACACTCTTCCTCCTGCCCTCACCTCCCTCTCCTCTCTCCTGCCCCCCCATCCTCCACACCCTCATTTGCATGCATCTGTTTACGTCCAACTCATTCTAAATAGAGCACTCTCCTCCCTAATCATTCATTTCTGTAAAGATGAAATGAGAGACTGTAAAATAAACAGATAAGAGCCTGATTGCAGCAGCAACGCTTCCTTTCCTCCTGATTTTCATTTACTTATTTTTGGATGTGCATTGACAGAGGCTGCTGCTCAAATTCAATTAACAGGGTTGTTTTTTTTTTCTATATGCTTCCTTCTGTGTGTTGAACCTCCAGAGATGGGATCGGTGGGGAATAGAGGGCTTGGAAATTAAATGAAAGGGCAGCACTTGGGTTACAAACTCAAAATGAAATTGGCTGCAGCCTTTGCATTCTTCTATTCGAGTCTCAGTGACATTCTTAACCAATCAAAACTGAAATTAACAAAGCAGCAGTTTCTCTAATTGACTCTTTTCCTCTTAATAGAATTTTCCTGTTTCTGCTTGTTTGAAAATCACGTAAATGTTCCAGATCATCAAACTAAATGTTGAATCAAACCAGTAGAAGCTAAGTAAATAGAAAAAAAATGGTTTTCAAGAGATGATTTATTGGATTTATTGACATATGTGGGGAGAGTCAATCCTCTGAATATTTGATTAGTGCCGTCCTTAACCTCTTAACTGTGCCGTTCTGGATCACTGCTGCTATGAAGTGCCTCAGACAACTGGAATGGAGGCTTTAACATCTCTATCAGAGATTTGGCTCCACTATTCCTACAAAAACATGGTTTAATTCAACCACAGGGGAGGAGTTTGCAGTCTGAGCTCTCTGTTTAAGGTGGCGCCACAGAATCTCCATTTGACTTTGACTAGGCCGATCTGATGCTGGTTGATTTAAGCCCTTCAGAGGCTGATTATTATTATTTTTTTTGTGGGATTAAGTTTGAGCTGAAGGATAATTAGACGTTTCATTTAATCAGCCCCTCACTATTACACTACCACCACCTTGTTTCACCATTGGTGTCATGTTCCTCATCTGAAGGAGAGATAAACACCAGAGAAAAGCAGATACTGTTTTTTTTTAAAGTTGATGATATGTAGGCTACTACTAATTTATTATTATTGTGCCATTTATATTATTTTATAATAAAAATGGCACAAATTTTAATTTAAACAAAATTAACATATCAAACTAAATATGAACAATAGATAGAAAATGGAGGAAGTGGTTTACTTGATCACAAGGCCTGGCTGATGAATGCTCCAATGAATCTGTGAACGGATGCCGATCCAACACAAAAAAAAATGCTAATGTCGACCAAAAATGGAAATTATCAAAATATTATTTAGCAACTTTGAAACATCCTTTGTATTTTTCTGGTCAGCTGTGCGTGTTTTTTGTTGTTTATTTGAGCTGGATTAATTTTGTCAGAGAGGTTGAGTTCATCTAAAGTGATTTCTTGATTTACATGTTTGGACATTTTTAGGGCAGGTTGTGAGGGGTGTTATAAACTCACTTTATTAAAATGATTTGGTTGATTACTATATAGAAGCAAGCTGCTTTGGAGAGACGTTTTCCTTTAATAAAAGAAATGAATATTTGAAAATAGTATCTTATATTTACTACGATCATGTTTAATTCCTTATATTTGCATGAAGGAAAAGTAAATTGAATTACTACTCAGTAATTTCTCATCAACCAGTTTTTGCCATGTTTACTCTTGAATAACGTATTAATTATTCTAGATTTTATAATTTAGGGATCATTAATTTTGTTAGAATGATCAGTTAAATTAATCTTTTTTCCTCTTTCATATTTATAATCCTAATAAAATAACTGACATAGCTACTTTGAATATGCTGCTTTGATTCATAACACCACATTAGAGATGCACTGATTAGTATCCATATCGGTCCCAATATTGAAGTAAAAGTGAGAATCCGTGTCAGCAATAATGTTCCTGTCCATAGTGGCTGATCTATTCATTGTACTTCTATAATGAATTTAAGTTGTAATCTCATTCCAGCAGATAAGTTTACCCCTCTATAAACACCTGTTGTTGATTTAAAGGTGATAATTTAACTTTTTGAGGTCAGTTTTGTTCTGTACAATTTGCCAAATTGTTGCTATGACCGCCAACATTTAATTCACCTGTTCAAAAGAAAAGCAGCAACCACTGCCTGTCTTCTAAATCTCTTTGTTACCTCAACAGTTTAATCAAAGCTCGTCCTCATTTTCCTTCTTTTTTTTGACTTAAATCTAAAAAGATGGTCATTTCTGAGCTCTGTCATGGAGCTGCTAGGACCTGGAGACACCTGGGCTCCGACTCAAATGAATTCAACCTAATGTTCCTATTGGTAGAGAATTCATTCTTGACAACTTTGGCATCATGATCAGACGTAAATATGTAAATATTGGGTGGCCTCCCAAAAATGCATTACAGATATTATTTATATTATATTATTCAATTTTTTTCATTAAACTTAATACAGAGATTCTGTGGACATATTTATTTTTAAATACAGCAAATTTGAACTTTTACATTTAAATATTTTTCTCAGTATGGAATTTTAACATGATTTGTGTTTTTATTACCTTATATATCAAGTTGTTTTTTGTGCATTCATGCATATACCTGCTTGTAGAGAAGAGCTAATGACAGCTCTTTAAAAAGATCAGCTGTATTTTTGATAACAACAAAGTAAACAGAGCTTTGGTCTAGGAAAAGTTTTGGAATCTGCAGATTCAAATTCAGAATCAAACCAGAAGTGACAAAATGTGGATTGGTGCATCCCCGATTCAGTCTAGACTAAACCTATGGTAAAGGTATTTTGAAAGTCTAAAACTGCATCCACCTTTTCTTGCAGTAGCATAATAATCAGATGATGAGAGCGTTAAAAAAAGAAAAATAAAATCAGACCTTTTTTTTTTTTTTTTTTTTGACAACAGAACAGAGGCAGCAAACCGTCCAGCTGGGTTTGTTGCGAAAAGAACTTCAAGTACAGAGGAGGATCTGTGATGCTGTGGGCTTGTTCTTTTTCAGAGGTCCTAGGAACTGTGTATGCAAAACAAACACTGTAACACAGTTCCCAGGACCTGTGTTACAGTGTTCGCAAAACAAACACCTGAAGATTAGAAATACAACTTGCCAGTCAACAGCAGAATGAATATTGTAATCTGACAGCTTTAGCAACACAAACATGTTTAGCCAGACATCAAATCAGCCTTCTTCTATGGTCACAGTCTTCAGACCTTGAACTCTAAATAAAACAAGTTGCATACGTCTAAGGTTATGTTCTACCAAAAAAAAAAAAATGTTTCTTTTACTCTCTTTTTCATGATTTTTTATAGAAGCACTTTTGTTACTTCTTTTTTTATATATTCGGGCAAGTTGCCGTTTGTTTTTATTACATTGACGTTAATTTTTGCCATAAGTATATCCATATTTTTTGAATGTTACAAAGCTAATAAGTTTTTGTCCCGGATTCCTATAAAAATATTGGATTGAAATTTTGATTTTCAAAATTTCATTTTGAGTGTCCTATTAATGGTTAAACAAAAAATACTTTAAGGTAAATTTGAGAACTTTGTTTCCAAACTGTCTCACAATTAAGCGCTTTATCATTTAAAAAGTGCACATAAACATCTGAAACCTGTATTTGTCTCTAATATAAAACTTAAAAATCAGTTCAAAAGAACCAGAAATGCAGCAAAGCTTTACTTTATAACTATCTTGGTAAATAAAGAAGCATGTTAATGAACTAAAGAAGAGCTATATCTGTATTTATTAAAGGGTTTTTAACCCTATAGGCTTCACTACCTCTACCTTTTCTTTCCACATCACCTTTATCACTGTTTTAATGCATGAATTGCTCCCAGGTTATTCAATTCTTTCCGGTTTTGTTCCCACGGACTCCCATGGGTGTTGTTTTCAAGACTATTCCTTTCTTTGCCGTGTTTAAATGTTTAGCCTCATGATCTCTTGACTCTCCCGTTTGTTTTTTGTTTTTGCCCCCCCCTCCGTAGCTCGAGGCTATCCGTGGACCCCCAGGAACCGCCGACCAGAAAAGCTGCGCGACTCGCTGAAGGAGTTGGAGGTAACCTCACCCCACCTCATTACTCCACCATCCCTATCCCGCTTCTTCCTCCCTCTGGGGACTTTTACCGTTTTCCCTTTCCGAAACGGCTGATTGATTAACAAATAGGGGCATTCTCTGTCTGCTCTCCCTCGGCCTTCACTCTCCCTGTCGCCCCCGTTTGTTCTCGTCTCCCCCTTCCCCTCTCTCATCACCTCTCTTTCGGCTAGGTTCTGTCATCGAACGGGATATTTGAGGGGCAGCGGACCCCCCCTTTCCTCCTCCCTCCTTCTCTTCCACCTCTGTCCCTGACTCCTTCCTCATTCACCTCCTTCTCCTACTTGTGTCAGTACAGACCTAGCTTTGTTTGCTGGAACCTGTCTGTGGCTGTTATATACACACACACATGCACACACACTCTACAACCCCAACCACCTCCCTCCTCTCACCCGTAACCATTGTCTGAAAGCAGAAACACCCAGCACACCTCCTCTCTCTCCTCCCATCCAATCAGCCCAGCTGGGTCTGGAATGCTGCAGGAATGACTGACCTTACACTCTCACACAGTGGTTACCTGCATCCGTTTCCAAGTCTCCCCCCCCTCCCCTCTGAGAGCAGGAACTGCAGGAGTGACCACCTGTTGGGACAAGTGTCCACTGTCACAAACGGAGTCCCTTTTCAACCTACTGCACTCTCTGCCTCTCACTTTTTCTCCCTTTTTGCCCATTCAGGAGCTGTTGCAGAGCAACACCTGCGTTCACACCAGATGGAGAAACAAGTACTGCTGCCAGGTACACACCCTTCCCCAGCTCAACACCCACTGGGTTCAAGCAGACACACACCAACCTGTTAATGCGGAGCGTGTTGGTCAAAGAGCTGGACTATAGGGTGAAATCACTGCTAAGATCATTGTTAGCTCATTATGTAGGTGAGCTATAAGGTTCTGGTAGAAAGAGTGTTTTTAACATTAACACGTAAAGGAACACCATACTAAATAGATCCGTATTAGCTGGTAAAACTGACTAGATTTCTGTTTTTCTTTCTATTTTCATTTTTAAGTGTATTTTCTATCAATTCTATTTGTTTTAATATATTCAACTTTTAGCCACAGCGATTTTAATGAATGCAACAAAACCTATTCTACTTGGTACCTTTTTGTGGGGTTACACAAAAGAAAGAATCTTAAATCTTATACGTTCTTATATTTATATTTTCTTATATCTGTTCTTGGGCTGAAAAAATAAGATTAATCGATTATTGAAGTAATCGTTGACTAATTTATTAATTGATTATTTGTTAAGTGGAGTTTAGAGACTCTAAAAGATGCTTGTAGCTGACAGAGCGACCCACTTAGAGCAGCAATTACACCAAGATTGTAAAAAAATATATATACAAACATTTTGCATTTAAGATAAAAAAACGAATAAAAAACTCATCGAGTGGAAAAGTTTGAGTTTCACCTGATTTAATTTCTTCTTTAAAGAATCTTTGGCTATCCGATTATTTATAATTTCATCCAAAAATAATCAACAGATTAATTGATTTGCAAAATAATCGTTAGTTGCAGCCTTAATCTGTACGTATATCTTATATTTTGTCACATAACACGGATTTTTACAGTTTTATTTGAATTTTATGTGATTGAACAGCACAAGAGTATTTTTTTTTTATGTTGCTGATAGAAAATTGAAATGTGTGTCATGCATTTGTATTCAGCCCCCATTAAACCAAGAACTTGAACAACCATATTTTGCTCATACACAGTTAGACTATTAGGGTCTGTCAGGTTCTTCAGGACAATTTTTCTTGTAAATATTCTTCCTCTAAAGCTGCCTAAGCATATTTAGATCCTTTGTTGAATAAATAACCAACATGGAAAGTGTTGTTTCTTAGACAGGATGGTCTTCAGTCAGAGGCTTCAGCTATAACACAGACCACTACAGAAGATCCTTCCTGCCATCACCTGTGAAAACATCTGATTTGGATCAATTATTATTAAACTAAGTAGCTTTTTCTACAAACAAGTCGAATTAGGTGCTGTGAACTTTGACTAGGCCGTTATAAAACATGAATATGCTGTTTTCTAAAGAAGAAGTTCCCAAACTTTTGCCCTTCTGACCCTTTAAAAATGGTACTAGAGTTGACTCATGATCCAAACTAGAGGTTGAGCATAAAAAACAATCCAACATCAATTAGCTACAGGTATAAAACAATACAAAAACAGCATCAACATCTTTGTTTAAGTGATGCTTTTATATCTTTATGTCAACAATGGGTGGTGAGGTTGCTTACAGACCCAAATGCAGACATCAGGTGGCAGAGGTGAGTCTTGAAGGTTTATTCAGTAAACTGAGGCAAAATCCAAAGAACAAAAATACCAAGAACCAAAAAACTTCAGGGGAAAACCAGAGATGAGGAAACAACAAACGACAACAAGGAACCAGCACTGAGTGACTGTAGAGGTGGAGTATTTAAGGGGCACAGAACAAAGGACGGACTAATGAGCTGAATAAGGAGCAGGTGTGAGTGGAATTAATTAAAAAGAAGCCAGGGGGGCAACAGAGAGTAAGTAAAGACTGCTTGAATATAATGGAAAATAAATGAAAGAACAGAAACAGAAAACTAAAAACTCAGAGTCCCAAATGGGGAGAACCATAACACTTTAAGCCCTTTAGCTTGAATATTTATTGTTTAGCTTAATTTCTGTTATGGATTTGAAGGCCATATACTGGACCCTGAGTGGGGTCATGACCTTTGGGAATCGATGTTGAAAAGCCTTCTGTTGAGACCCTGTTATGTTTCACTCTGGGGCCTGTGGGTTATATATAGTGTGCAATATTATGTTTCACCACATATAACATTTGTTATGTGCAGGAAAGTGCAAATTTTATTTTATTTATTCACGTCTTGCTGATGTTGTTTTATAACATTTCCTGGGTTTGTAATACTTCACCTATGTGATGTTTTTCACTGGTTTTCATGATGCTGTTTGGTCCCTAATGTGCTCTAATGAACCTCTTAGACCTTCACACAGTAGCTGCATTAATTCTGGTATTAAACTACAGACTGTATTGGCTGCACATGCAACTGCTATTGGCATTTGGTTACATGATTCTACATAGGAAGAAATAACATCAGTGAGTAGAAACCCATGCCTCTCTTTAGTTGTAAAAGGAAAAAAATCTTTCTTTTTATTCCTTAGTTTGTTTGTTTTTTGCTCTTATTCGTGTTTGTTGGCCACATTAAACCTACTGTAATTCAAACACCAACTAATAAGCATGTGGAAAACATCAAGTTTTATCAGTTATTTTCCAAAGTACTGTATCTCTTTCAATAAGAGAACCACAGGCATAAATAAAGCTTTAAAAGGTTTGGATAAAAACAGTCTTAAGTCTAAACTTTTTTTGCGATGCAAGTTTTTTGTAGTGTTGAAATTGTCACAGAACATTTAAAAATGCAGCAACACTGCAAACAAGGTCCATCTAATTAACTTTTACAATCTTAGATGTAGCCAAGCAATCTTTGTGATCTTGTTTTGAGACTTATATACTAAAAACGGCAGATTCTATTTGATTAGTTATCTTCTTTGGAGCAGATTGTACTCAAAATAAGTGTGATAATCTGCGAATGCTGTAAGACAATATCACTTCTCGGAACCATAATAAAAGTATTCATAACAAGACGTTTTACTGAGTGAAATTGTCTCACTGCGCTGGCAGATATTGCACTCATTTGGAGAGGTGGCAAGTAAGGAAGTACAAATACTTAGTTACCTTACTTAAGTAGAAATTCGGGTTATCTATACTGGAATTATTATTTTTGGACTTGTTTTGTTTGTTTTTTTTAAGCTCATTTTGGTTTTAGCCTGTTGGTATTTCAAACAAAAATCATCAAAATAATTAGTTTCCTCCAGACAATTAATTTCTTTGTGGTTGAACTCACTGCACCAACTTGTTGTTCCCCACATACCACAATAAAGAGTTTTTCAAGATGATGCAAAATTAAATTTAAAATGTCCCTTTAATAGGTTAGTGAAGTAAAGCAGCTGTCCTTTTTTTTCGTTTCTTTTATACTTAACGTATTTTTTCAAATCTTAGTTTTACACTTTTACTTGAGTAAAAAGCTTATGTTGACACTCTAACGTTTACAAAAGTGTTTTTAAAAATTATAGTTTATAATTCTACTTGAGTATTAATTTGGACACCTCTGCTTATTTGGAGTTGTATCGTCTCAAAGGTAGATTAATAATCTAGCAGAATCAGCTTTTTGCTGAGTATATCAATCCCAAAACATTTAAGAAAATGCTTTTTGGGACATTATTAGATTTTAAAACTTGATAAGATATATAGTTTTTGCAATGTAAACGTAGCAGAGTGGGGTTAAAAAAAGGGGACCATGAAATCTGAAGCTATTTGCATCAGGATACTACAGGAAATTCATGATGTGTTCAAAACAACTTGTTAAAATATCCATTGTGGTTCATAAAAGTCTAAGTTTTAACCTTTTTATTACCAACACTATTAAATGAATGTTTCATTTTATTTCAGTTTCTTTATTTTATTCTCTTTTTTTCCATCAATAAAAGCTGCCTACACACCTAAAAGCCCTAAATGTATGTGATATACTGTATGCAGATGATGCTGAGCAATGCGGTGCTGGTGACGGTCACCCTAAAAGGACCTCAGCTCGATCAGGTGTGCATAGACCGAACCTTAGTGGGTCGACTTCCTGCCAACACTGTGACTGATGGTGAGTTTCACAATAAAACATTTCAATCACAAGAGACCTCATGTGTTTTCCACCATTAAGCAGCTTACTGGTGTGGCAGGTGCATGATAACATATGAAACACAAAATTCCCAGAGGGATTTAAATAATGTTACTCCAGGTTTTAGCTTCAAACATGTGATTGTCTTCATTCTTTTAAGTTTTCTTTAACAAACCATTGTTTTTCAAACAAATTCTCCATTTAGGCATGATGATATGTGCAGTTGTGTAATAATATGATGGATTAAAGCAGTTATAATATATGATTTTACACAGAAAGCAATTAAGAGCTTTAGATCAGCCACTGGGAAAAAAATAAATCATTTGGTTAGATAAAACTATTATTGCTTCCACTATTTTCACCTGTTTCTGGTAAAAGATTAGTACCACATATAAAAAATGACAAATCAATGTCTGGCTCTGCACACAATTCATCTAGAATTACATTTAGCTACAAGATAATGATGACCTGAGTTTGCTAATATGACAGTTATATGGCAGTCTATTATATATAATTGACTGAAGAATGATAACGATGCTTGGTTTTTCTAGTTTTCTGTTGTGCACATTAATCATTAAAAAATAGGTTTCACACTCTCCAAAGAATGCTAAACAGAAAATACATTTAGAAAATAATCTATTGCCCAGAGTATGGAATTCAGCTTCTTTCACTCAAACAAACCATTTCCATGCAGCTCTTAGCTTCTTCCTCACTTCAGTCTCTGGAAAGTTCCCCACAAAATATACATGCTTCTGTTTAACCACATCAGTGATTAATTACTCGGTTTTTTATCAGCATAATCTATCTACCTAACAGGCAGAAACCTTACAACGATCATCTCTGTTAAATTAGTATTTGCAAACAAAAAAATGGTTTTGTCTTATTTTTTGGGCGTTTTGCTTCTTCTACTATTTTGTCTGTTTCTGTTTAACGATGAGATCCTGATTTCTTCAATTCATCCAAAGTTCCTCTCATTAACTGTCTTATCTTAATCAATCCCAAAGCATTTTGAGCTTAATATGGGGCTTTAGTCACATTCAAAACGATACATGTCACAATACTTGGGTCACCATACAATATCCCGATATTGCAATATCACTAAATACGGTATTATGTTATTTTTCCCAACAATCACAATTACATGTTTAGATGAAAAACCAAGTGTTGTTTATGTTCATCAGACGATATTGATCATTTAGTTATTTTTGGCATTCATGTTGTTTGTTAGTCAGTCTACATCTTCCACTGTGTCTGCCTCAACTACAGATATGGTGCTGCGCCGCACAGCTAAAGGGCTCCACAGCACCATCTTTCATAGCGCATTTTTCCCTCATTGTTTTAGGTAAAATTTTGTTTTTAAAATCGATACCAGGAACTGAAAATTCGATATTATATCGGGCAGCTGAAAATCATGATATGTCCCAAAAATGATTTTTAAAATGATCTCTTTAATTGAAATTATA